AAAATGTTAAAAAAAACTTTGTGAACTTATTTTCCTTTAAAAGTATTTTTTTTTTACTTTTAAAGTCAAAATATTCATTATCAACTGCTTGCTTTTAAAAGCATTTTTTTTACTTTTAAAGTCTAAATATTGATTATCAACTGCTTGCTTTTAATCAGTTATTAAAAAATTATTGATTCCCACATCTTAGAAATCATTGATTCCTACATTTAAGAAACCATTGATTCCCAATCATTGATTCTTACATTTAGGAAAAATTGATTTACTAAGACTAAAAAAAAATAATGAAACATTAGAAATAAAAAAAATAATGAAACATTAGGAATAAAAAAAATAATGAAACATTAGGAATAAAGAAACTAATGAAACATTAGGAATAAAGCTATGGAAAGACAAATGATCTACTGAGGGCACCAGGTCACTCTTCAACTTTTCTGAGGTAATAATAGTTTACAATTTCTTTCTTTAAGCACGTTGTAAATGGCAGACAAAAACAGGATTTTACTTAGTTTTATTATCATTGAAAATTTTATTTCAATGTTTAACAGTAAAAAAAAAGCTTTTCACTGATTTTTTCTTTTTTAAGATTTTGTTTCAATTAATTTTTATCAATGTATTGTAAAAATTAAAACAAAAGTAATGTATAAGAATCTAGGTTTTTTTGGTTCTTCTTTTTTCTTTTTTTTTTTTTCTTTTTTTTGTTTTGTTTGTTTTTAGTCTTCTTCTATTTACTTTTCTAAAAAAATTATTTATTTCTTATTTTTATTTACAACCAAATTTATAACTATAATTAATTTAAAAGAAGTTTGAAATTATAGTTTTTATTTATAATAATGTTTCTAACATTTTTTTTAACATATTACATTTTTTGAAAATTTTAAAAAAACTTGTTTTATATTATGCATTTTAACAAATTAATATTAGTAACAAATTACTTTTAATGATTGTTTACAATAAATCCATTATATTTAAACCATAAAAGAATTTTATTTGTTTAACTTTTTATAAAAAATTTAAATCTTTTTAAACGTTTTTTATGATTCATGTCACAAACAACTTATAAAGCAAAAAACTAATGTATTATAAGACAACTCAAATAAAAAAGAGCATTTTAATAAAATATTTGTTTAAAATTTAAAACAAACATTATGTAACATAACTCAAATTAAATAGCACAATAAAAATGGTTTCTATAAGCATCAAAATAACTATTATGTTAAAATTTTTATAAAATAAATTTAAAAGGGTTTAAAAGGATAAAATATTCATTGAAATTTCAAACCATCAAACAAAATATTAAATTAATACTAGAATATAAATTTAAATTAATTCTAACGTTTTAATATAAATTTCAAAATCAGGCTGCTTAATTCAAAAAAGTTTAACGCTTCAATGTCTTTAAAACTATAAAATTAATGCACACTAATTATGGGTCAGTCAAAATGACTGGTAGATGATGTTTTTTACCAGTCAATATTCAAAGTCCTGCAGCTGTTTTGAGCCATATATATATATATATATATATATATATATATATATATATATATATATATATATATATATATATATATATATATATATATATATATAAACAGGAGATAATAGTTCTTCAAAAGTAGTGATTATGGTGGTAGTTAAAAAAATAAAGAGAAGTTCAAGTAAGCAAATGCGCATAAAACAAAAGCATTATAAAAAAAACTTAAAATCACGGTCTCAAGATTACTTACAATGCCTCTTTAAAATTATTTTTAGTAGTAATACCTCATTTAAAAGATCCATCATTACAAACATAAGTGCACTTATAAACATTGGTTGATGTTCCACAACCCATTCAATAGGGAAAGTGTTCATTAAAAACTCTACAACTGAACAACCACCACTTTTCGCAAACCAAGCCCGCTCATAACAACAACCACACAGTTTTTCTTAATGAAAAATTGTTAAAATCCTATTAATTATTTTACTTGTATTTTTTAAATAATTACAAAAATCATAAACTTTACTATCATCTAATATATACTAAAATACTTAACTTAATTGAATTATTAAAATCATAATTAATTTTAGAGTTATAATGATAATTATACCTGCTAAATATTCAAAGAAAGGCAATTGAGCAGCTTTTAGTTTATCTTGCATTACAATGGAAGCAGTTTCAAAAAGAACAGTTATTGCTAAGTTTCCATATTTAATTAGATCTTTGTCCTCGTGCGAAACAATATCAGCTATGGAATCAACAATTGTGTGTACATCCATTCCAGTTAAACTAAGTTTGAAAAGACATCAGAAGATTTGTGAAAAATTTTTTTTTTGTACTTTTTACTTAATTTTAACTTTTTTAAACAATTTTGATAATTTTAAAATTTACTTCTATATAACAAAAAAAAAGAATTTATATATGACATTTAAAATGAATTAAAGAATTTCTATATAACTACTTTTATATTTATAATTACTTATTATTATTCTTAACATTTTATCAAATAGTTTTATCATCAAAAATAAAAAAAAATTACTTAAAACATGAACTTTGTAAACATTTTAAGAAACAAAAAACTAAATTACGAGAATATATATTTGAAAAATACCATGCATTTTGTTGCTTGTAAAATAATTCACTTTGCTGCACAATCATCACTAGAGCAAATTGTCTTAATATACCACACATGAATGGAAGTGAATCATTTTGCAGCTCTTTAATAGATGAAGCAAATAGCATACCAGTTAATGCTTGTTGAAAAGTTTTCTTAGATTGTTCATCCATGCATGATTGCGCTGGCATTTTCCCTATAATATTTTCAAGTTTGTAACACGTTTCCTTTATATTATTGTTATTATAATCATTATTATTACCATTAACAATTAGACTTTAATTCTTATGATGACAAAAATAATTGGAGTTTTTTTGCTAAAATCATAAAAATGATTGTGGAAACTAATTTGATTCATTTTTTTATAAAAAATTCATTTGATAAGGGAGTTTTATTTTTCTTAATTGATAATTTTATTTCTTTATTTTTTGTTAATTTTTTGATTTACATTTTCTACCAAATTAAGTTAGCCAATATGTATACACTCACTGTTGTCAATTCATTCCGTTGCAAAATATAAAAAAATACCAACGACAACAAAAAAAATATATAATGATAGATATTACTACATGGCATAATATATAAAATAATTACTATTTGCAAAAATAAAACTTTTAAAATTCACCTATTTTAGGAAAATCTTTTAAATTCACATCTTTTAGCAATACTTTAAGCAATAATGTGGAATCTTCTTTAGATATAGCTGCAACAATAAAATGTTTAATTATAAACCAAGCTTGCTCTTTGTAAAATGGAATGTTATCTACTGAGTAATTGTTTTGTGTAACTGATGGTAAAGATGGTATCTGTGTTTTTAGAACGCTTAATGCTTTGTCTATTACTACAGATACTGGCAAGTTTACAGGTTCATTGGTTTCTGTAAAGTACAACATTAAACAAGGTCCGATGTTCTCATTTGGTTTAAAATTCAAAGTTTGTGGTTGCTCCAACAATTTTCTTCCATTGCCACCAAACTTTCCAAGCACACGAAAAGCAACATGAGCCATAGTTTCCATTGGGTTACGCAATGTTTTCCACAAAGCTTGCATTAAGTCAGATTTTACTGGTAATATGTGATCATAAAGAAAATCCGGTTGAAGATTATCAACACATAGTTCAAGAGTACGAAGTCCTTGACTAACTAATGATTGAGATCCATTTAAAGCAGAAACTAAAGGGTCCATTAACATTGGCAAATATGGAAGCAACGAACTGAAACCAAAATAAATATGAAAGAAGTGAACTTTAGCAAAACTTAGCAAGCAGCTAAAAAAAATATTGTAAGCAGATAAAATTAAATTCATAAATTAAAATAACTTAATAACCTTAAACGAACTGGTACTGTTAAGCATAGCTCTACAAAAAGATCTTTCATATGTTGCTTATGTATTCCACTTTGCAGGTTGTTAAGACCTTGCAATAATGCAGGAAGCAGTGGTAGAAACTCTTGGTATAACAAATCATGATTACCTTTAAAAAAACAGAAATCAATACTTGAGAAAAAACACTTAGAGTTATAATTCATGCAAAACAGATTTTATGTAGTTATTTACAAATAAGGTAATTGGAAGATATAAATAAAAAAATTTGAAGAATCAAATATAACTTACAAATTGTAACAATTACAATTAAGTTTTTTTTTTTTAATCTGATCAAAAAGAAATTGTTAAATTGAATTAAAATGAAATACAAATCAGTTAAAATTAAAAACAATAAATAAATCAAATACCTAACACTGATTAGTGACTCAGGCATAAAAATTAAAAAAGCACAATTGGACAATTTTTTGCCCACTTGTGCTTTTTTAATCTACATACTTGATTAAACAATAAACTTAGAAAAACACAAATGTTAAACAATACTTAGCAACACTCAATTTATAATTGTAAAGCTATATAAGTTTAAATACAAAGTTCTTAAATAAAGAAATAAAGTAAATAAAGTAAAAAATTGTCTAAACATAAAATACATTCTTATATAAAATATCTGAAAGAAAAGGAAAAAGAGTTTTTTTAATTTAAATTCAATTTTAATGTACCTATTTTTTAACTAATATTTTATTTATTTTTACCTTATTTATTTTTTTCATCTACTTCTTAAAACTTTAGACTAATTACTTAATTTCTAAAAATAATAACTTACAATATGAGTCTTGAATTTTTGTTGTTAAGTTTAAGCACTATTGTTTTGCTGTTAAACACTATTGGATCTTTTAGAACCCCACAACCCATTGACAACAATATTTTCACAACTTTTTATTAACAGAAATACAATCAAGAAAACCAACAAAAAATGATTCTGTCAAAATGTTCATAAAAATTCATAAATTTCTTTTGTAACTTCTTAGATTTGTGAATACACGCCCCTTTAATTTTTAATGTATAAGAGAATGTTTCATAATAAAATTTTATTTAATAAAAAAATATAAATTCATTGCGGGTTGGGTATTAGTATCTGATGTGCGAACTACTGTTTAACGGTGGACCTGACTGTTAATTAATACTCTTTATTGCTAAATAATACTATTTATTATTATAATGCGGTTTAATTAATACTCGATTATTTATTTTTTTGAAAAACCACAATTAAAAATTTAATGACAGTTGCTTGAGCAAGTAGTCAAACAAAAGAAGGCACGTAATTAATGCATTTTGTTTTATAAAATGTTTGGTAATTGAACTTATCTGTATGTTGTATATTTAGTTAAATATTATTTATAAACCATACTTTATATATTGTTATATATTATTTATATACCATATTTTGTTTATTATATTTTAAATATTATATTGAACGTATCAACTGTATATTTATCTGTTTTTTTTTTATTTGTTGTATTTTATTTATTATGTTTGATATTTATATATTTATTTTATATTTTTTATTAAAACTATATAATAAATTATGTGTCTTTTGTTCAAAAAATAAAACACTATTAATAAATTTACATTTATATAATGTCATTAATGCTTGTCATTTATAAAAATGATTTTTATAATTGTGGCTTTGTGAATTTTTTTTTTTTTTTTTTTTTTTTTTGAAAAAATTGTACCCATTACGCAAAATAGTTGCATTAGTTTGACTAGCCGCTTTAAAAGTGTTATGTGTTCATTTACAATGTATATAACATATTATAATTTTTTCCAAACTGAAATATTAACTAGTTACATCTAATATACCACACAAATCACACCACATATATAAACACACTCCATATTTCATTAAACACCAACACATAAATTACCACACCACATCACAAACAACCTTACAATTTACTACACCATACTTGCTAGTCACTTTTATAAAATATCATTATACTACATTGATTACCTCCTCCAATTGATCTGAATAAAGCTCTGAGTAGGAGAAAATAATTATATGGTTCTTTAGCTGATAAAGCAAGTTCCATCGAATTGTTAACAATATCGTGCAAGTGAGGCTAATAACAAATTAAAAAATTAAAAAATACAATCAATTACTATAGAACTTTGTTGAAATCTTAAAATCAGACTAGCAGAGCAGAGCCAGAGCTAAAAATTATTTATTGAGCTAAACCTATAAATTCTTGATGAGCCAAAAAAAAAATTCTTGATGAGCCAAAAAAAAAATCTCAGCAATCCTGCTTAAAAACAAACTTTGTTGATATTAAAATCTATTTAGTAAAAATTAAATACTTAGTTGAAATTTAATCATTATTGTACTATGTCATATCAAAAATGTACTAATGTACTTTGTATAACTAAAAATGTACTAATGTACTTTGTAATATTTTGGTATTATGATAAAGATGATCATTATTTAAACATGATCACCTCAACATCATCATATTCATAAGCATCATCGGTTTCACTTAAACAATAAAAAACTTTAATTAATTATGAAATATTATAACTAAAAACAATATTTTAAATGATTTTTTTTTTAATTAAAAAGGACTCAACATTAACATAAAAAGTTAAAAAAAAACAAAAAAAACATAAACCTTAAGCATTTGTTCATTCTCCTGAGCAAAGAGTGACACTGAACCAAACACTAATTTAAACAGCTTTAGGTACAAATTTGCTCTTTCAGATTTTGCTGGGAAATAAAACAATAAATTTTCTTTTACATGATTTCTTTCTTATTAAAGTTAATATTTGCTTAACATTTTAACAAATACATTTTAATTAAATTATAAGCTAATTGCGTTCTGCAGTTTTAATTAAAGTGCTGTTATAAAATCCTTAAAACTTTAATTAAATTAAAAAATTCTTACTTCCCATGTCTTTTAACTTTCCCAAAAGAAAATCAACAAGTATTGTCGCAAATGTGGCAGATGTGTGTGGATTAGCAAGGAAAGAATTAGGAATAATTTGAAATGCATAGTTATTATGAATGCGTTCTACTAAGTAATCAATAGAAGCAGAAAATACTTCTTTAAATGTTGCAGTATTTAACATAGTAAACTAAAAAAAACAAAAAAAGAATAAACAAGTCTTTATATAAATAATTATGTTTTAAATAAACACAGAGTTTAAATTAACAAGACTAACAGAGTTTAAATTTACAAAAAACTTTTGTTGTGTTATTCACAATAAACTTTATAAAACTAAATATTTTTATATTCATTTTAATTAGTTGCAAGCTTATATACAGTTACAGCTAACAACAAATGAAAGACTTTTATTCTACATCCATTTTTTGTAAATTATATAAAATAAATATTCTATAAATAAATGATTTTATTTAAACATTTTTTTTTTTTTTTTTTTTTTGAAGTGTAGAAAATTTAGTTTTACTTAATAAAGAGTGAAAAAAAAATTGAATATAAAAAAATATCGAGTGTATTTATATGCTTTGTTATATCGGGGGTACAACTAGATCAGATGGTGGACCAGAAGAAGCATCACAGACAAGAATAAGGTATGCCTTTGGTCAGATAAAGAAAAACAACTGAACTAAAAAATAACTCTACTATTCTCTACTAAACAAACAGAAAAACATCATTAAAGATTTAAAGAAAGATTTTTGCTAAATAAAAGCAAAACATGACAATGATGGTTTAGATCCACAAGTCTAGCTTGTTATATTAAATTAAATTTCAATATGTAAAAACAAAATTTATTACCACTCCAGCAAAATGTTCAAGGATTTCTTTTTCCTCCTTCATTCGAATTTGATTTGGGGAACTTGAAAAAAAGTTTAAAAATATATATAAAACATTTTTAAATGTTCCATTAATTTATTACATTTTTATTATATTTATTATATATACATTTCTTTTTTAGTATTTACATCTTAGCTATTAACTTTATACATCATAACTACTAACTTCATATTAACATGAAAGATTAATTAGTTAATTAACTTTTAGATATTAGTTTATAAAAATTATATGAATTTCAACATTGATATAACTTTTATGTGAAAAAAAACTATCAAAATAAAACAACTATTTATTACTTGGTCATTTTGACGTATCCTGTTCCAGTGGGATTTATGGATATTTGATAAACATCTAATGCAACAAGGGCTAAAAAACAAAATTTTATGCCTTAATATGCTGGTGTTTTTGTTGGTCTATGGATAAGATAGTGTAACCAGATATCTCATTTTAACGAGCGCAATCGCACAAATGTTGTTTTTATCAAACAACTTGATGAAAGATTGTGATAAACTCATTGTAACAACATAATAAAAGAAGAACTTGTAACATTTATTAACAATATAAAACAACAAAGAGAATATAATTATCTGTGTTTATTTTTTGGTTTAAAACACATATTGTTCAAAAATTTAAGTCCATGTTTAGCAAACGTTTTACAATAAAAAAAGGTAAAATAAAAATAAAAAAATTTATTGCTTATGATATAAATAGATACAATTTTTCGGAATTTAAGGCAGTTAGCAACACAGGCATATCAATTGATTGTGTAATGGAACATAATAAAAAAATGCTAAAAGAAACTAAATTTTAAAAATTGCAAATGACAGCCTAATAATGATGTTCAGGTCAGAGCTATTTTGATCAACTGCGGTGAAATAAACATAAACATCTGGTGTAGCCACTTTTCTGGCTCAAATTTTCCTTATTAAAAATTCAAACTCTAAACTTCTCCAATCAAAATACCAACCCTTTTTTTGTCAAATTTAAGTGCCATTTAAATTGAAATGCTATGTTGTTATTAGTTGGTTTTACTTGTTTATTTTACAACTTTCTAATAGCAATATAAATCTATTTTTAGGGTGCCAATAATTTTAAGGGGGACAAATGACATCTGTATTATTCACAAAATTATTTTTTTTTTTTTTGTCATCCTATTCTGCTTTATTTTTTCCAAATGTTTTAATTAAGTTATGTCATTTAATTAAACTAGTATTATAACTTGAATTCTTTGAACAATTTATAAAATATTTAATCAATCAATTTTTATCTACATAAAATAATTTTTAGTAAAAAAAAAATTGCTTAAAAGTTCTACATTTTAAAATAGGAAAAGAGACTTTAGTTCTAAAAAAAAAAAAAATTCAATATAATTTGAGTAGCAAGCATTACTCCATTAGTGAAATATCAAGACACTGTGAGTGAAGTATCAAGACACTGTGTGTGTAGTATGAAGACATTGTGGGTGAAGTACCAAGACACTGTGAGTGAAGTATCAAGACACTGTGAGTGAAGTATCAAGACACTGTGAGTGAAGTATCAAGACACTATGAGTGAAGTATCAAGAGACTATGAGTGAAGTATCAAGACACTGTGAGTGAAGTATCAAGACACTGTGAGTGAAGTATCAAGAAACTGTGAGTACCAAGATGCTGTGAGTGAAGTATCAAGACACTGTGAGTGAAGTATCAAGAGACTATGAGTGAAGTATCAAGACACTGTGAGTGAAGTATCAAGACACTGTGAGTGAAGTATCAAGAAACTGTGAGTACCAAGATGCTGTGAGTGAAGTATCAAGACACTGTGAGTGAAGTATCAAGACATTGTGAGTGAAGTATCAAGACACTGTTAGTGAAGTATCAAGATACTGTGAGTGAAGTATCAAGACACTGTGAGTGAAGTATCAAGAGACTATGAGTGAAGTATCAAGACACTGTGAGTGAAGTATCAAGACACTGTGAGTGAAGTATCAAGACACTGTGAGTACCAAGATGCTGTGAGTGAAGTATCAAGACACTGTGAGTGAAGTATCAAGACATTGTGAGTGAAGTATCAAGACACTGTTAGTGAAGTATCAAGATACTGTGAGTGAAGTATCAAGACACTGTGAGTGAAGTATCAAGACACTGTGAAATTGAATCAAATTAAAAACGCCCTCCTACTAGATGTTCAGATGCAAGGCAAATACAGATAAATAAATAAAAACATCTAAAAATGAGACTACAAAAAGTAGTGTGAAAAATCGATTTGCTACAAACTCTATAATTACCAGCAAGTTGAATGAGGTGGGATTTAGCAACAAATTTTGAAGGAAGTCATTATAATAAAAGTATTAGAACTTTTTGTTAATATTTCACTCTTTCTATTTTGTGGTTATTTCCTCTATGTATGCTTTAGCAATGAGTCTGCCATACAAACTATGACTTCCAATGAAAAGTTTCAGGTAGATTTTGTAATCAAAAGTCTTTTGCAAGTCATGTTTTGGTTGGTAGTCAAGTTTTGGTTGGTAGTTAATTGAAAGCAATTGATTGACAGTACATTGTGGGTGGAATAATAAAACATTACTAAAAAGTCATTAAAAACAATCTTCAATCAGTTCTCATATGTAAGACTACTAAGATTTCAAAAAAGAAAATACCAGAAGAAATACAAGAAAGAAAATACCAAAAAAAAATACCAGAAGAAATTACAATTAACAAAGGTACTAAGAAATACTTATAACAAAAATATTATTAATACTTAAACGCTGGCAAAAAAAAAATTGAAAACAGTGGCTCACAAATAACTTTACTTCCATCATATAGCATGGTGTTGTCAATGAAAAAATAAAAAGAAGTACCAAATAAACTTGATATATTAACTTATGCAAGTAATATATCATTGACAGTAACTCCTTCAGTTAAATTTTTTTAAAAGAAACTATTATTAGCGCTTTTGATTGTTTGAGATTCGCAAAATGAATCAAGCCAGAAATCAAAAAATATTCATTAAAATCATCTATTAAAATAAAATAAAAATATTTGGTAGTTTAAACAAGTTCTAATATTTGGTAGTTAAAAATGTATATAAATTGAAAAAACATATATATATATATATATACATATATATATATATATATATATATATATATATATATATATATATATATATATATATATATATATATATATATATATATATATATATATATATATATATATATGTATATATATATATATATATATATATATATATATATATATATATATATATATATATATATATATCAAATTAATATGGTTTGCATGCATTTGAACTAAAAATATTTTCTAATGTGGTTTACATTTAAAATAATTTTTTTTTTTTCATGTTTAGATATTTCATTTATTTAGATGTTACAAAAATCATTATTTATGATAAATTAATTAGTATTAAATTAACTCATTATTTATTTAGAACTAAAATAAAAAACGAACGCTTTCATAAAAAAAAAACTTGTCTAAAGTCGAATGTTTACTCGGTCTGTCACTAAAGTAGACTGTGTTGCAGCCACCAATTACTTTTTACTAGAACACTTTGATATTGTATATTTGATTCAGAGTTACCCTCAAAACTTGCAACTGTCACTCCATTCAAGGGCTAAATATTTGTAGATAGAAATTAAAGTAAATCAATGCTGAAGCACATCTCTTAAAATTTTAAATACCCAGTAAATCAATGTTGAAGCACATCTCTTAATATTTTAAATATCCAGTAAATCAATGTTGAAGCATGAATATATATTACATGTGTAGACATCTTCTGTGCTTTTAAATCATTATAAAAATAGTGGATTGCAAAGATAATACTACTGCGTCTGGCATGAACAGTTTTGATAAAGTGTTTGACAATCCAAAACACATGTGATGTGGCAAAGATGTCCCAGGTGCTTTGGAACATTAAAAAAAATACTGAAAAACATGCTATCCATGCTGATCCATATTTATGCTGATCCATATTTAGAAGTTCATATTTAAACATCATTTGCAATATCATTGTTTTGTTCAAATCAATATTTTTCAAATTCAAATCAACAGTTTAATAAATGTTTTTTACATTTATTAAACTCTTCCAAATGCAGCAAAAGCCACAGATCACGAATATATGTTCTACGACATATCAAATATGAAATATCAAATATGAAAAAACAGCATAACTTTTATAACTTTATATAACTTTTTCAAAATGCAAGCAACAGTGGAAATTCTGAACTATGTGGAAAATAAAATTTTATGTTCAATTGCTTCACATATTTGAATAAAACAATAAGTTTATTATAGGTACAACTAATTTTGATCAATTTTATATTCAACTGCCTCACATAGTTCAATAAAACATGATATTTTATTTTAGGTACAACCAACTTAGATCAACTTTATGTTCAATTGACTCACATATTTCAATAAATCCATGATGATATTTTAATGTAGGTACAACCAACTTTTATAAAGTTTATCTTAATAAGAAAACTATAAACATCTTCATAGCAAAAAAGTGAAACATTTGTAAACTTACCGGTAGTTTTGTATTATGTTATGAAAGATTAACAGAATATATAAACAGTTAAACATTATGTAAAACTTTAAGCTACACATTAAGTATAACAATTTTATATTGTTATAGTATTATAAAAAAAATCAGGATTTTTCGATTTTTAAAAATTTAATTTGTTAAAGAATAAGTATAGATCTTTTGGAATATTTTTAGTAAATGGCAGTCTAGATTTTTATAAACTTATTAAAAGTATTTATAGTGACCTAAAATTGGAACAACTTATGCAGATTAATGATTAAGCAAGATTAGTGGTTAAGCAAGTTAATCAACAGCTGGTTAAGCAAGTTAATTAACAGCTGGTTAAGTAAATTAATCAACAGCTGGTTAAACAAGTTAATTGACAGGTGGTTAAGCAAGCTAATCAACAGCTGGTTAAGCAAGTTAATTAATAACTGCCAATTAAAAATAGAATTATTTAGTAGTCTTATATATGGATTTAATGATCAACTTTAAACATATTGCAAAAAAATCTTGGTAAAAGATATCAATATAAAATGTGACAGTCTGTGTAATTGCCTTAATGCTTTCAGTTAAATGTTGCTTTCTTAATATTAGTCAGTTAAATGTTGTTTTCTTAATATTAGTCAGTTAAATGTTGCTTTTTTTAATATTAGTCAGTTAAATACTGCTTACTTAATATTAGTCAGTTAAATGTTGCTTTCTTAATATTAGTCAGTTAAATGTTGTTTTCTTAATATTAGTCAGTTAAATGTTGCTTTCCTTATATTAGTCACTTAAATGTTGCTTTTTTTAATATTAGTCAGTTAAATGTTGCTTTCTTAATATTAGTCAGTTAAATGTTGCTTTCTTAAAATTAGTCAGTTAAATGTTGCTTTCTTAAAATTAGTCAGTTAAATGTTGCTTTCTTAATATTGGTTCTTATTTAATATTGCAATAAATTTCATCATGAGATCTTACTTAACATTGTATGCTTCTCATGATAATTTGAAAATTAAAATTATAAAAAAATAATTTTACCATATTTTAACAAGCGTATAAATATCTCTGTCTCTGAAGGCAAAAAAACTTTGTTTCCTTGTGGATATACGGAAATAGTTATATCTAAAAAGCAGAAAATATTTGAAAAGTTTGTGTATATAACATTATAGTTTAGGCTTAATTATGATTAAATTTTGTTTTTGTTGTTTACCATAAATCTTTTATGTTATTTGATATATTACAAGTGTTACTTTTAATTGTTTTTCTTATTTTCTAATTTCATGCAGTTACTTTGTTCTAACCTTTACAAAATTAGAGATAAATACCTCCAGGCAACTTGCAAGAACCAGCACCCCAAGTAATTGTTTTAACACCACAGACAAGTGTTTTAACCATCTCTCTATAGTCAGGAACAGAAAAAGAGTCTTTAGTTGTTCCAGTGCATTTCTGTTAAAAAACTAGAGTTAAAATGTTTTTAATCAAAAATAAATTATACAAATTAATAAAACTTACTTTAGAATCTTCATCAATATCATCATCTTTGATTGAAGGAGATGGTGGGAAATTAGAAATCTCTTTTCCAACAGGAGGCTCTATAGCAGGCTCACTAAATCAAGTTGATACAAGAAGCTTAAAGTTGAACTTTAAAAAAGTTGTCCATAATTTTCCAGCCAATAAAACCTACTAACCATTTGTTCATAATTCCAGGGATGTGATACTTTGCAATTGTTTGAAACTTTCTAACAAACACCTCTAACATTTTCATCAATATTTCACGACCCTTTTAAATTAGAAAAAGAACTTAAATTTCCATTAATATTTCACGACTCTGAAATTAGAAAAAGAACTTAAACTTTCATCAATACTTCACGACCCTTCGAAATTAGAAAAAGAACTTAAATTTTCATCAATACTTCACGACGCTTTGAAATTAGAAAAAAAACTTAAGCTTTAATTATTAAATCATCATTAAAAATGATTTTACATTGACAGAAGATTCTTCACTTTTTTGCCGAATGCATTCCACAAGATTTAGAAGAAGCTAAAACAGTTTAGAAATAGTAAAATGAATAATAAAAACAATAAACTTCTTGTTATTTTTTTATAGTTATAGATATAGTTATATAACTTAAAATAACTAAAAATTAAATAATCAATAAAACTAAATATGAAAAAAAGTTTCATTACAGCTAATCAATAAAGTATTTGTATATTTGAATTTTTTTTTTTTTATATTTCAATAGATGATAGATGTTTAGTAAAGAATAAAATATTACAAATGGTTTATAAGTTTTATAAACTGTGAACCTTTTAGTTTAAAAAAAGTGTAAAAAAAAACACTGCTAACATTACCCAGTGAAGAAAATCTGAAAATTATTGTGTAAAGAAAAGTAAAAAAAAAAAGAAGCATGAGTTAAACTGAGTGATTTTTTGGAAATGCCGCACAATGTGTTGGTAAACTATTTTAGCAGATATGATTAATTCTGGAGAATAGGAGCTATTAGAAGCACAGGAGCTATTAGAAGCACAGTCTTGGCTTAAGTATTAGCTCTAATATTTGATGGTGCATTGCAAAACACAATATAAACACTAATGTGTTATGATGTGAAACATGAAAATAAAACACAATATTAACACTGATGTGTTATGATGTACAACATGAAAATAAAACACAATATAAACACTAATGTGTTATGATGTAAAACACAACATAAACACAAATGCGTTATGATGTAAAACATAAAAATAAACACTAATGTGTTATGATGTAAAACATGGAAATAAAACATGAACTGTTAAGACATTGAGACTGGAAAAAATCAAGACAATAATGAGGGGATGAGCACATTCAGTTGGGATTCTGGAACTGGACACTAAGTATACAGCTTGGGCAAGGGTTAGGAATAGAAAATTAATATTTGATTTAATCCACAAGAAATGTTAATTATTTAAATGATGATGATGATGATGATGATGATGATGATGATGATGATGATGATGATGATGATGATGATGATGATGATGATGATGATGATGATGATTTTTCTATAAAACATTTTCTGTTAAAAAAATTTTGAAGAAAATAGATGAATGCAAAATTTAGAAAGAAAGATAAAGAATATAATCATTTTGAGAAAAAAAAATTAAGCCAAAGCAGAAATCTGGTCTGAATGAAATGTAAAAAATTAAATGGAGAAAGAATGCAATGCTAGAAGTAAAAGATTTGTATGCAAAATTGTCAATCAATCAATAAAAGTAAAGTATGCATTGCTAAAGAATAAAGAGCATTGCCAAATAATCACTTTGTTTATGTACATTGTCAAATAATCATTTTATTTATGTACATTCTCAAATAATCACTTTATTTATATACATTCTCAAATTATCACTATTTAGCTTAAAAAAAATCAATCCAAAGCAAAAATCAGGTCTAAATGAAATGTAAAAAATGAAATGGAGAAATGTAATGGCAGAAGTAAAAGATTTGTAAAGTATGCAAAAATTGTCAATCAATAAAAATAAAGTATGCAAAAGAACAAATAATCACTTAACTTGTGTACATTGTATACATATATTTGTGTATATTGTGTACTACTTAGCAACAAATTATCTTTTTAAAATAAGAAATTTTATTGGAATTCTTATCTAACAGTAATTTATCCTCAGTTTTTTTCTATGATGTAAATAATAGGGTTTAAGAATAATTATAATTTATGTAATAAACTTATTGTTTCCTTTTTTTAAGATCATTATTTACTGTTTTATTACTTTATAATTTTATATAACTATTACTTATTATAATTATATTTACTTTAATTTTAGCTTATAATTAGTTTATTTTTCAACTAATAATACTTAGCTAATGATTATACAAATCGTTAAAAAAATTCTTTAAAAATTTTGAAAAAAAATGATAATTAAAAATTTACCTTGCATGACATTCTTTGTATACTAAGTGGTAGAGATTCGTCATAGACATTTTTTGAAAATAGTTGCACAGCCATTGAGAGATTTGGGAGGGTAAGAACTTGGCGAACATGGTGAACAAAATCAGCTAAAGTGCTATAAGCAAGTGGTCTTAAAGCTTCATTCACTGTCCATCCACTTCCAATAAGAACATCTTCATCAAAGAACTGCTCAATATGAGGAACAAATTCTAAACGAAAAAATTTTGTACTTTTTTTAGCAATCTGTTTCATAACATAGTACAATTTCTTATTTTTAATTCTTAGATTACAAAATTATTCAACAAATATTCAAGAAACTAATGGCAAACAATCGTAAAATTGTAAATAATTTAGTTGGTTTTTTATACGCAATCGAACATCAGCTAACATTTACAACGTAAAAATGTGAAGCAATTATGTTAACTGCAATGAAAAGTATGCTAACTACTTTTAATTAAGTTTTTAACAAATAATTTTATACTAAATAAAATTAAAACATTAAAACTAACTAGATCGAAGTTCAGTGGCAAGAATGTGTCGCACAGCTATAAGAAGTTCTTTCCTTAAATGCGCAACTTCTTGTGGACAGTAACGAAACAGAGCAAGCATTCCAGCAACCATGTTGGTTGAATATTGGCCAACTAAATCCTTCAACAAAACATTTATTTTCAAAATTAAAATATTCACATTCAATTCATTTTGAAAATATTATGTATAATTACTTGAAATATCTTCACGTTGTAAGCTAAAAATGAAAGAGTTTTGATCTGTGCAGCTGTAAAGTCAACATAGACTTCTTTGTTGAAGAGTGGAGAGCTCCTATTTAAAAAAAAAAATTAACTTTAAATAAAACAAATAATAATAAAAAAAGCTGTTTATATTTTAAACCAGCTGTTTAAAATACCTTGCAGATAAGGATGGTTGCAATGTGATGGTTTTCATGACAACTGGTATAAATTCTTCAATTTTTCCTTGAACACTCTGCTTGTATAACTTAAAAAACATATGAAGCTTAGTATACTTGTATAAAAGATTAGTTTTTCTGTTTTTCATTATACATTAGAATGTATAATGTACAGCTGACATTAAAAAATCACACAATACCATTCAATATGTTTGTTTTATCTATTTTTTCTAAATAAAGATTGAAAATGTTATTATACAAACCTGATACATAAGCACAACAATTATTGGAAGCTCTGCTAAAACTTTTAATGATTCTGTTGCTTTTGGTATCAAAACTATCTAAAAATGTTCAAACTATATAATTGAAATGTTTTTCGAATTTATATTTAAATAAATATTTAAATTATAAAGCTTATTAAAGTACCATAATCTAATAGTATACATTATATATAATATTATATAACATATATATATATATATATATATATATATATATACATATATATATAGTATACATTGTATATAATATTATGTAACATATATATATATATGTAATATATATATATATGTTATATTTGTTATATATATATATATATATATATATATATAATATATATATATATATATATATATATATATATATATGTATATATATATATATATATATGCATATATATATATATATGCATATATATAGTATACATCGTATATAATATTATATAATATATATATATATATTTTCTTTAAAAGTCATTTTCTTGTTATACGTTAAAATATGGGTAGACCTTAATAAATACAGCTGCATATAAACTTTTTTAAATATATATATATTTTTTCTTTAATATATAATTATTTCGATATTTCACTGATCTATTGTGATCAGCGTCATCAGGTATAATAAATAAAATAGTTACAAAAATTGTTATAGTAAAAACAAACCGTTAAAAAGATAACACTAAAAATCTAAAATATAATACAAAAAAACTTTTTAAAATAACTGACATCAGCAGATTTTATTAAAAAATTGCCCTCAGGTTTTAGTTGTCACATTATCACCGTCATCCCGATTAAGAACCACACCACCATTTCTTAATTCTTGTCAAACCCTAGCTTTGCTTATTTCGAGTGACTCTCTGATTTTCCGAGTTTGATATTCTGGGGCTACAGATAATGTTTTGGGGTGCAACCAATCAAACTTACCATGGCATGTTTTGGAATGTTCAGTTGCACCCAAACTGGACCATTTTTCTTTTAAGCTGTTTTTCTTGTGTTCAATACATCTCAATATCACCTTCTTTTTAGTTTCACCAAAGCATATCGAACTGCATGAACATTTTAGTTGGTATACGCTAGGGTCTGTATTTAGTGGTAGTTTAGTTTTATTGCTGCGAAAAATATTTTTTAAATTGGAAGTTGATGTGAAAATCACCTTTATGTTTTGCTTTCAAAATTCTTTACGAAGTTTTGGACCAACAATTGGTATCCAAGTTAGTTTTATAAAGGGTTGGGTATCTAATGGTTAAAATATGGTGTTTTTTGAACCTTTTTTTAAATAGTCTATAGTAATATTATTTAGAATGTTCTTGTCATGGCCATTTTCAACAAATATGTCTATTAGAAAATCAATTTCTTTTTGAAGGTGTTTTTGAGAGCATATTCTTTTTGCACGACATAAAAATCCTTTGAAAACACCAATAATAATGTTAGAATTAATGTTCGAGTTAGGTTTAAGTTGAACATTTGTAATAGCTTCTTTTTAATGTATTTTAAATTCATTAGCTCCAGAGCTTTTGTTTGTAATATTAATATCTAGGAAATTGAGCTGTTTGAGGTCATTTTTAAGTTCCACTGTGTATTTTATGGCAGGATGTTGTTCATTAAAGATGTTCAGGAACATTTATTGTCGTTTTATTGAAGCGAAGCGAGCGTGACAATCATCTACATATCTCTTGTAAGTTTTTGGTTCAAATGTATGAACATTGCTATGTTAATGGCATTTCTTTCTATATTTTGTAAAAACGCTTCCGCCATAACAACCATTGAAGATAAACCTATAGGACCTGAACTAGGTATTATTCGGATATTGTTTTCATATAAAAAATAGCATATACTTAATGAAAGTTCAATTAATTGGTGTATGTCTGCGAGAGTAAGTTTAGTTCAAGTTTTTAAGTCATGAATGTATATATATTTAAAAAAGTTTATATGCAGCCGTATTTTATTGAATTCTACCCATTTATATATATATATATATATATATATATATATATATATATATATATATATATATATATATATATATATATATATATATATATATATATATATATATATATATATATATACTTACATTTTTTTACCATTATATTATATTAACATTATAAAACAATAATATAGTTTTGAAAATATTAAAGAAGTAATTAATAATGTTTTATTTTCTAATAGGTTTTTTTAGCTTTAATAAGCTTATATTCACATGTGTGGTTTGGACATTTTATAAGCGTGTGTCCAAACCACAGGACAAAGTACGTGTTTCTAATGTGACATTTTCTTACTTAAATCAGGACTAAATTTTTTTGTGAAACATTTGGAATATTACCATTTTTTGTCATACATTTGGAATATTCTTAAGTTTATGAGCTACCTATAAACACAACTTATTTAGGACTTTTATACCAGATTTTTTTTCTCCTAGGTGAATTGCCTTCTCTACAGAGAAGTGTTGCTTACATCTAATCTTATTTATCTATATAATTAAACTAGTTATAAAATTAATTAAATAAAAAAACTATTTTAGTTATGATAATTAACTTAATTCATTCTAATATTAATAATGAATTAGTTAAATATTCTTAACAGTTCTTAAGTAACAAATTTTTGTACAACATAATCGTTTGAAAGCATTTGAACTATAAAACAAAATACCTGGCCAGTTCGTGCTGAATTATCACTTGGTTGGCCTACAGGCGAAGAGGGTACTTTAACAGGAACTGTTGCTTGCTTCATTGAATTCTGAGAGTTAATACTACTTTCTATTGGTAAATGACCTGTTGCAGTGACAGCAACAATATCAAAATGTGTTTTCTGAAGGAAAAAAAAATTAACATTTTATTATTTCAAAAAAATAATTTATTATTTATAACATTTAAGAAAATAATATATATATATATATATATATATATATATATATATATATATATATATATATATATATATATATATATATATATATATATATATATATATATATATATATATATATATATATATTTATAACATTAAAGAAAATAATTTATATTTTCATAATACTTAAGAAAACTATTTATATATTTATAGCATTCAAGAAAACTATTTGTATAATTATAACATTTAAAGATTTATAGAACAGTAAAACTTTGTTTTTTTTATGTAAATTCCACTAAATTTTTTTAAAGTTATATGAAATGTTAAAACTAGGGATGGGGAGTCAGCATCTAGAGTCACTATTTTTGCCTAGAGATAAGAGTCTTGGAATTTGGGAATTTAAGACTCTCTGAGAAGATATAACAGTCTTCACAAAAAACCGTAGACATAGGGGAGAAATATTTTTTTAAAGTAGTTTAAATTAGTTTTTTTAGATTATTATTTAAGTAAGGGTGTTTTTCATTTTTGCATCATACAATTTTTATATTGGTAATACTATTCTTATATCAGGAAACATTTTTTAAATGTCCGCCTGTCACTGTTCATTTTAGAACTAAATTTTTCATAAGAAAACATTTGTCGCAGGCAGAAAATTCTATTTGAAAATTTTCTGCATTTTGGTAGCTTTATAAATTTGAATGAAAAAAATAATTACAAACACCCTAAGATAACTTGTGATAACACAAACTATTCAACATTAGCAAAACCAATAGCATATAAAGTTTAAATGGCATGTTATTCATAGAATATACTATCATCCAAAAATTATAATATGCAACAAAGGAAAGACTTTTAAAGATCATCTTTGACATATAAGAATGGTTATTTAAAGAAAAGACTTTTAAAGATTGTCTTTAATATATAACAATGGTTGTTTGAAAAAAAGACTTTTAAAGATCGTCTTTAACATATAGGAGTTGTTGCTTATTTTAATACAACTTACAGTGGTAATATTTATAACTGTGGCAGTTTTTAGCATTGATAAGCTACATTATGCAAAAACCTGCAAATGCACCTTTTCGCATATTCTATGCAAAGTTATTATATGCATGTAATAAATAAAAAATTTGTCAACTGTTTAGTGTTTGTGTGACTTATTCTATTACATTAATTAGTATTTCTAACTAAAAATATTTGAACTTGGGTGCATAAAAATGGGAAAAGCTTAAGATATATAAAACATTTCATAAATATCTGCTTTATTAAAACATTCAAATCACTTCAAAAGAAAAACTACAAATTTAGTTAAAGTTTCTTACAGTTAGCAAAATAAAAAGTAAACTTGATAAAAAAAAAAAAAGGAGAAGTGCCAGAAGTAAAATCTAGGAGACTACGCATCATTACGCCAAGAGATGAACAGGCAATATGTATTATTTGTGTTGAAAAACAAAGAAAAAGTACTAAAGAAATTACTAAAATCATGCAAGAGGCTGGTATCAAGATTCCTAACAGAACTACAAGACATCAAATAGTAGAACTAGGGTTAAAATGCTGCAGACCTGCAAAGAAACCTAAACTTACTCCAGTAATGAAATTAAAGGGTCTTATTTGGGCTAATATAATATCTGCATGTCTGCTGAAAATTGGGAAAATGTAAGTAAATACTTAATGTGTATTGCAACAACATTGTTGATTAAGACATTTATATGAGTTTTTACATTGTTATTTTTATTTATTTCAGGTGTGTATCTCAGTTAAGTACTAATTTGAAATATTATTGGATAAGTCTTCTTTTCATAGATGCAGGAAAGAAGAAAAATATAACTTAGACAGTGTTATGGATGGATGGTACATCCATCCATAACACAGTCTAACATGGGTACAACACCCTCGAAAGGTGATGGTGTGGTTAGTTGTAAGCAGTTAGCGCAGTGGCCTTCTTTATGTAGTTAAGGGATGATGAACCAGGATAAATATAAAAAAGTATAAGCTACCAAATTAATTTCTCAGTTACATGATTGGTTTCCTGATCTATCTAAATGTATCTTTATGCATGATTCTGCCATGTGCCATAAATCTAAATCAGTGACAAGAAATTGATTATGGCCACGCAGATTATACTCTGACAGCAATTGTGCATATACTATTAGTCAACTTTTTCTTCCGTTTGTAATTTTATATGGCTGAATCAGGCCGCCCCTTTTTCGTCACTCTTCTAAAGTAGTAAGATTGAATATGGCCAGTCTATCCTCAAGTAAGTATGGCCAGTCTATCCTCATGATTTTTATGCTTTCTCTCAATTATTGTTTTAGTTGCTCGCTGTTGAATGCATTCAAGTGTTTTTATGTTATTTTTTAGGTGAGGAGACCGGGCTTGAATAGCTTACTTGAGATGAGGTCTAATGTATGTTGTGTAGAGTACCCTGCATAACATTATCCCTCTAGTGCAAAATGAATTTTTTAGTCTGCCAAGTACATGATTTGATTTAGCTGCTACAGCTTCTACTTTATGCTTAACCTTTAGATCATTTGATGTTAGGACACTTAAGTCATGTTCAATATTTGCTGTTCCGAGTTCTATTCGATTGTTGTCTATGTTAAGCATTGAGCAAAGGTGCACTGAACTATTTGAGTGACAACATGCATGACTTTACATTTGTTGAGGTTGAAAAACATGAGCCACTTCTTAGTCCATTTGACTGCATGATCTATGTCTAGTTTTAGTTTTATAGCATTATCTTCTGTTTTAATTACCCCTAAGATCTTACTGTCATTGGCGTAGATCTTTATATGATGCGCGATGTTGTCTGGAAGGTGGTTTATATATCAGAAACAGAATTGGACCTAACACTGAACTTTGTGGAACTCCCCTAGTAACATTTAGCCATTGTGATTTGCTATTGCTGATAACACCCTGTTTTGTTTTTTTTTAACCAGTCTGTTATCCAATCCAGGAGTGCATCATGTATGTCATATGCTTTAAGTTTTAGAAGAAGACGCTGGTGAGGTACTTTGTCAAAAGCTTTAGCAAAGCCTGTGTAAATTACATCTATAACATAATTTTAAAATAGAGCTACTTTTAAAATGTCACATACTTCTTATAGATTAGTTGTACAGCCGCGTCTCGAAAGGAATTCATGCTGAAATTTTGTGAAGAGCCTATTTTCAAGGAAATGTTTCATGATTCTCTTGCGTGTAAAACTTTCTATTATCTTACAGGGTACTGATGTGAGAGAAACTGATCTGTAGTTCGAGCATTTCATTCAGGTTACATTTTTAAATATCGATCGAGGCAGAACAAATATGAGTCATATTTGATAGCTTCCATAGGTGAGAGATTAGAGATTTTTTGAAAATTATAGCTAATGGCCAGGCTAATGCAATGGTACATTGTCAAAGAACACATGAATGTATATTATCATAGCCTTTTAAGTATGTCTCAATAAGCTCTCCTAGTTTTTGCTGAACATATTTAGTTGTTATTCCTGCTTCACTATGGACACATTTCTGTTCGGTTCTCAAAGGTTGGCAGCTGATGTAAGGGTTCAACAACAAATACAGACTGAAAATATATATTAAATAAATGAGAAATTTAATGACTGTCTGTTGTAAGATTTCTATTGTTGTCTTCCACTGACTTCACTGTTTCATTTTGCAATTTTATTTTTGTACTTAACAACTGCTAATCTTACAACCTTAACTTTTGATAGATCAGACAGAATTTGTTTTTAATCTAACAACCTTAACTAGCTCTTTGCAGGCTGCTTTATGCACTTCTCTATGTGAGTCCATCTACCAGCTGCAAGAAATTTGTGCCAAAGGTTTCTTTTCTTTTCCACAGCTTTTTCAACTTCTGGTGTATTCCATAGTTTTTGTTGTTTGAAAGGTGTTTTAGTGGAAAATATATGTAGGGTGACCGCCTCTTTGATTTTGTCAACAAACAACTGATAACTGTGATCCAGTCATGGGATGTGATTAGCATTAAAGGGACCACCAAGTCATGAGACATGTTGTGTTCATATCAAAGAGAATGTTAAAATAAAAAGTCTGAGCAAATTTTTTTTGATTAAAACTAATTAATAAATGTATACCAAGAAAAACAAATCTTGTTGTTTTAGTCGAAGCTTGTCTTCTACATTTTCTGCGGTATTTGGAGTCTTTAAAATAAATGTGATTTTCCAGGCGCATTATACAGACTTGATAATTTATTCATGTGCATTTAATTCATAGAAGTTTTAGTACATGACGTCATAGATTTTATTTGCGCAATTTTTTTTAAATAATCGTCTAGACCACATGTATTTTGATTTCTTTTGTTATAAGTTTTTTTTTCAAAATATTAGATAAAATAATTTTTAACCTAAATAATAATGCACTTTTATTAATTTACTTTGTACATATTAAAAAAAAATTATTAACGCATCTTTTCTCTGATTTTCAAAAATGTATTTTTTGGTATTGAGTTGATCTTATTTCATTATTTATATTTCCATTATTATAACATCCAATATATATTATGGCGGGTGCTTAAAAATTAAAAAATTGATATATATTAATTTTTATTTTACAGACATACATGGAAACATAATTAACTTGAATGTTCTTAAAACATCTTGCGGAAGAATAAAAAGAATATTTGCGAACACTAAAAATCCGCCAAATTTACGAACTAATTCTATTGGTTCAAAAAATACGTTGACTAAGCTAAATAAAGTTCAAGAGTATTCTGTTGAAATTTTTTAGCTATTGTATTATTCACGATTTGTTGTGTTTTGAGATATCTACCATAAATTGTTTTAAAAATATATTATCAAATGAACTATTACTTTAATAAAAGCCGTAAATCTTTTAAACTATTATCATTTGTTTACGAAAATAAATGTTTTATAATAAAAATTTTGAAAGTTAATTACAAATTATATATTTTATTAGTATATTCTTATTTTTTATATTTCTTCCTAGTGCTTGGTTTAATTAATTGTTCGTTAGATTTGTCAAATCAACTTGCATTAAAATGTAAAGAACACACTCGTGAATCATCGGAGATATTATATAACCCGATTTGGCGCCATAGGGGTCCCTAAGTCCACCATCGCCGTGGCCCATGTAGCCACGGCTCTGATAGCTACAAAAAAACAAAGTATTTTTCAATGTGAAGATTTTAGAAAATAAAATAAATAACTATAGTTATTTTAGTAAAATTGAATAGTAACATTTTTAAAGAATTTCTAGAATGTTTCCAATGACGTCATGTACTAAAACTTCTATGAATTAAACGCACTTGAATAAATTATCAAGTCTGTATAATGCGCCTGGAAAATCCTTTATTTTAAAGACTCGAAGACAAGCTTCACCTAAAACAACAAGATTTTTCTTGGTATACATTTATCAATAAGTTTTAATTAAAAAAATTTTGCTCAGGCGTTTTTTTTTAACATTCTCTTTAATATGAACACAACATGTCTCAGGACTTGGTGGTCCTTTTAAGATTGCTTCATAGCTTGCTCTATAACAGAAGTGGTGTTTGTAGCAAATGAGCCATGAGAAAGCAGTGGGCTTCTCCTGCTTGTGTGTAGTTAAGCTACCGAATGGAATTTGCATCAAAACATCTAAAGTGGAGTAGTCAAAAATGGTCAAAAATTCTTTTTAGTGACAAAAGCAAATTTATGCTGTTTGGATCCGATGGAATCAGGTATGTTCGACGTCCAGTAGGTACTAGGTACAATCCTAAATACCAACTGCCTACGGTAAAACATGGAGGAGGTAATGTAATGGTGTGGGGATGTTTTAGCTGAAATGGAGTTGGTCCTCTCCATAGAATTACCGAGAATATGAATCAAGAAAAGTACAAAGATATATTTAAGACTATTATGTTACCATATGCAAAGGATAAAATGCTTCGAGGATGGATTTACCAACAGGATAACGATCCCAAACATACAGCTAAATCGGTTTTAGAGTTCTTTAAAGAGAGTAAAGTTAATGTTTTGAAGTGGCTATCCCAATCACCTGACTTAAATCCCATTGAACATATATGGGAACATGTTGACCGTCAAATGAAAGGAATTAAGCCTACAAATTATGCTGATTTATTTAATAAAATCAAAGAATTATGGGACTTAATTCCCATTGACATTTGCATTAATTTAGTTGACTCTATGCCAAGCTATTCTTGATTGTAAAGGATATCCTACAAAATACTAATGTGATTTTGCTTTTGCAAAAATTTTGATCAAATATTGTTGAAATATTTTAACTATTTTAAAAAATAATGCTTTGTCCACAAATTTTTGAACTTATCAAAGACCGTTGATTTGTATACCAATTTAAAAACATTATTTAGATAATAATTATTTGTTTTGTAAAAATATTATTTAGATAATAATTATTTGTTCAAAACCTAATTGTAAATTTGAAAACCTTTTAATTGGTATATAATATGTTGGCTTTAGTAAAGTATGTGCTGAAATATAATTAAAATTTTTTATTTTTTTGCCTGTCCGCAAACTTTTGGACGCTACTGTATATTATTTTTTAATTTTATCTTATATTTTAATTTTATCTTTTATTTGAATTTATTTCATTTGTAAATAATAAGTATTTTTTACAGGACTGACATTTAAACTTTTGTATCAATAAAATGTGGTTATTAAAATGCTAATTAATTTGTTAATCAAACCACCTAAAGAATTTAGACTTAATTACAAAACAAACAAGTTTGTAAAACAAGTATGTAATATTAAATATTTCGAAAAATGTTTACTGCATAACAGGCAATGCGGTAGTGGTGTAGTGGTAGAGCGCTTCATAAACGAGTGGTTCGGAGTTCGATCCCCACCACGTCCCTGGTAGTACCGCGCTTAACTCGTTTCTCCGCGCAGCGGCCTTGTTCATCAAGGTTCGTGTTTCGGAGTTATAGAGTTGAGAGAGGGTTATAACCACAAATAAGTAGCCTCCTCGTCTGTAGTGGCCTTCTCGGCCTTGAGGAGGTGAATTAAAAAAAAAAAACACTTTAAAATAAGGCCTGATGTAGCTTATCTCCACAACCAGTATAGTTAGGCAGAGATTGAAGTGATTTTCAGAACTAAAATGCAAAATGTATCTAAAAATTATAAATTAAGGAAAACCTTTGTGGAATTGTGTTGCCTAGTGAAACCAGACTAAACTAAATAAACAAGTCAGGAAACTCTCTGCTAGGCTAAAAAATATCATATAACTACATCACCATTAAATTGATTGAACAAATAAAAGAGAAGTCCCATCATATAATTAAGTTCCTAACTAACTATATAAGATAAAACTTTCAATATATTTCGGAAGTTGATGTAGGACCATGATAATATTGATATAAACACAACTGTAAAAACCATGAAGACAAGTTATGTCAAAAAAATCAAAGTTAAAAACTTACAGCAATATTGTGAAATTCTTTGTAGAAATTGATAACAAACTGCAAAAACATCTTAATCTAAATACACACATATACATACAAACATATTATTTATATATAAGTATATATAAATATATATATATATATATATATATATATATATATATATATATATATATATATAAATATATATATATATATATAAATATATATATATATATAAATATATATATATATATATATATATATATATATATATATATATATATATATATATATATATATATATATATATATATTAAAATAAAAACTACTTCTGAATGCAATTAACAGTCTAAGAAATACCTCTGGCTTAATTTGTGGCCGAAACTGCTTATGAAGTTCAATAATGATTCGTAAAGCAACTAAAACATTTTCTTCGTTGTCAATCTAAAATGACATTTACTCAATTTTACTCTACTCCACCAAAATTAATTTTACTAGCAAACATTTTACATTTATTACAAGCAGATATAAAAATTAATAAATTTCATACATTAAGCATGTGGAACATAACATCAAGTATACTCTAAAAAAAGTGTAGAAGTAATTAAAAATTTAAAACCAAAATGACAGGAACTCAGGAGTTCAAATACTTGGAATAGCTGGTATATTATAAAGTAATATATATATATATATATATATATATATATATATATATATATATATATATATATATATATATATATATATATATATATATATATATATATATATATATATATATACTTATTTAACTTACAGAGACATGGGTTTTTAGAGAATCATTAGCAGGTATTCTATGTATAATATCTAATATCAGTTTACGAAGTTCCTAAAACAAAAAAAATATATTAACAAGTAAAAAAATTATTGAATATTTTATCTTAACAAACAAAATTACTTTTTGAACTTATTAATTTTAAAATGTAAAAATATTTTACTTGTTTAACAGAATCTGTGGAGAAATAAGCTTCACCTAGAGTGTTTTGCGAGAATACACATTATTTTAAATACATACATATATGTATATATATATATATACATATATATATATATATATATATATATATATATATATATATATATATATATATATATATATATATATATATATATATATATATAGCCTTAGAATTAGGAATAATGAGGTCGGCAATGATTTGCCAACCTTAATCTGTGTGAGGTCGGCATCAGGTTAGCAGAAAAAATGTAAAACAAAGATTTTTTGCCGACCTCAAACGTTTCTAGGTCAGCAGTTAGGTCTGCCTTGCCAAATGCCAACCCTAATTCCGAGGGTTGTATATGTGTGTGTATGTATGCATGTATATATATATATATATATATATATATATATATATATATATATATATATATATATATATATATATATATATATATATATATATACACACAGAGAAACCAGGGCAGTCCCAAGGCAGGGCCTAGGTAGCCCCCTTTACCAATTTTATTAGTCAGCAAATTTGACACTGGAATCAAATTTGCTAACTAATAAAATTGGCAGGGGGGTCTACCAATTTTATTAGTCTGCAAAAATTGGTAGCTCCAATTTTTGACGACTGGACTGGAGCAAAATCGGATCAATAGTTGGCAGTTAACAAATGTTGGCTACGAGGACCGTTTTTTTTTTCTTTTTTTTTAAGAATAGTTAGAATAGTTGTAAGTATACACATTATTTTAAATACATATACACAGTGAAATTCTTATAATAATATATAGATAGGTATAGAAAAACTTATTCAGAACAAAGATACTTACTCTCTTTTAAAAAGGATAAAAACTTTGGAATTGCATGCTCAAGGAAGCCAGCATAATGGTTAGAAGTACATATTGTCTAACATATAAGTTAAAATCTTTATTAAATAAAAAAAATACATTATTTAAAAAGTTCTAAAATTTTTTATGTAAAAAAGTCATAATTGATTTAATATATTTAATGTATCAATAATGATATGTGAATATGATTGTCTGTCTCAATATTTTAGGCAATTTTTACTTTTTATTTACTTTAAAAGTTTAAAAGATGCAACAAATTAAGGGCAAAATGATCATGGCATATTGAATAACTTTTTTTTTTTCTATATTGTATAGATAAAAATTGGAGTAAGAGTATCTGTTAAAGTGTATCAAGGAAGAGTAGTTTGGGCTTGTATAATTTAAAGTGGTTTGAGCTTGTATAATTTAAAGACGCAGATTAGCTCATACGAACAAAACTTTTGGTGTAACATTTTTAGGTGTTACAACAACAAAAAAATATTTTTTTTGGATTGAACTTTGTTTCTTCCTAACATTTTTACATAGTAATTGATGTCATTAGAAGACTTTGCAAAAGATTAATTGCAATTTTATTTAATTTAAATATTCAATTAATTTAAATTACCAATTTTATGAGCTACTTTCAAGAAAAATTTCAAGTTATTTTTATATATAGATTATTAATATAGTCGGCGAAACTAAAGCTAAATTATGCCAAAAACAACAATTTTCTTTAAAGTTTTAAAAATTTAAAGAAAATTGTCCAGTAAAAAGATTTTTAGGGTTTTTTTTTTGGCTGATGCCGATGGATGGGAAAAGGCCGATACTGATGCCAATATCGATGAATTTACTCCTTATTAAAAATTTGAAAATATAAAACCATATAACTTTAAATCAGTACTGGTAAACAAATACTTGGACAAAAATCAAAGCAAAACAATTACTTTAAAAGATATTAGAAAAACTCAGTTAAAAAAATATACATTTTTATACTTTCAAAAAAATAAATACAATTTTAGAGGAATTTTATTTTAATTAAAAAAAAGAAAATAATCATATGCAGTTTACTTAGAATTCTTTATTAATTTATTAGTAATTTAGATATCTAAACAACAATCTTTTGTTGTTTAGACATAAATTATTTTTAGATAAATATATTGATTTTAGAACTACTTTGTTTTGTGATGTTCAATCTCCACCACGCCCCTGGTCAGTGGTGTACACTGGATTTTTAGATGTTTGAGTTTTTATACTTACAGGCATTGTGCAAACTTCAAACTTTTGTATGTTCATGCGAAATGTCAAACTCATGTCAAATGAGAATGTTTTGCAAAGAGTTGCGGTGATGGGAGCTTGGGGACAAAAAAAACCCATTTTTTGTGCCCACCTAGCGCTTAACGCAGGACCAAAAAGTTGATAAAATAATTTTTTTAGTATTTCTATCTAAGTTTATATTCATCAACAAATTTCAAATTTCATGCAATAACCTCTTAGTGTTTAGTTTTTATGACCCTACAAAGTTTACAGCCCCCTCAAATTGAGGTGGGTTAAAACTTTATATGGTCAGAATTTTTGAAAATTAAGAGATTATTGCATGAAATTTGAAATTTGTTGATGAATATAAACTTTGATAAAAATACTAAAGAAATTATTTCATCAACTTGTTGCTCCCGCGTTAAGGGCTGGGTGGGCCAAAAAATTGGGTTTTTTTTGTCCCCAAGCTCCAATCACAGCAACTCTTTGCAAAACATTCTCATTTGAAATAAGCATGAACATACAAAAGTTTGGAGTTTGCACAATGCCGGTAAGAGTCAAAACTCAAATATCTAAAAATCTAGTGTACACCACTGCTGGTAGTACAGCGCTTAACTTGTTTATACATGCAGCGGCATTGTTCATTAAGGTTTGTGTTTCTGAGTTATAAAGTTGAGAGTGGGTTGTAACCATAACTAAAAAAGCCTCCTCAATTAAAGTGGCCTTCATGGCCTTAGGGAGGTGAATTGAAATGAAAAAATTAAAAATATAGAAATATACTTGGTACTTGGCTATACTTAAATACATGAAATAAGGTTGAACTATTTGCAAAGAAATTCTTTTCTAATCTGAATCTCGAATCTTATGGCCATTCTCTTCCATCCATTTTAATTAAACAGGTTAACCCATTGTTAGCCATTCAAATCATTTCAGCTTCCATTGCTCATATTCATATCTTGATTAAACTCTTCTATGGCTTGTGGTCCAGACAACATTCCTGTCACAGTCTTATAAAATTGTTCTCCAGAACTCTTTTCAATTTTCTCTTAACTATTTAATAAGTGCTTGACTGAATCTTGTTTTCCTGCCTGCTGGAAAATGGTATTTGTTGTTCTAATTTTTAAAAACTCTGGTAAACTTACTGAGCCCTCTGATTATTGTCCAATCAGTCTTCTTTTTGTTATTAGCAAAGTCTTTGAGTCTTTGATTAAAAAAAATTTCACATTTCATCTTGAATTAAATAACTTCATTTCAGACAAATAACCATTGCAGTACTGTCAACATTCCTATATTGATAAATGGCAACCCTCTCACTGATTCCACTTCTTTACATCTTCTTGGATTATTATTTAATACTGACTTTTCATGGAAACCATATATATAATCGATTGCTAAATTAGCATCTGCTAAGTTTGCTGCTTATTATCGTGCTCACCATTTTCTCTCTTCTGATTCCATTCCCTACCTCTACAAATCTCTTATTCGTCTGTATAGAATACTGTTATCATATTTGGGCTGGTTCTTCTAATGATGCTCTTTCTCTTCAAGAGAAGGTTTAAAAACACATTGTAAACAGAGTTGGACCCGGTCTATCTGCTAAGCTTGAGCCTTTTTCCCATCATCGTAAAGTTGCATCTCTTTCTCTTTTCTACCAATACTATCATGTTTGCTGCTCAAAGGAGCTTTCGTCTTTAGTTCATCAACAAAAACTCATTCTCGCTTGACTTGTCATTCATCAAAGTCTCATTCTTCGACTGTATCTGTCTCTTCATGCTCCAAAAACTTTTATTTGTCTAGCTTATTTCCATGGAATTCAACCCTTCAGAACTCTGTCCCATCTTCATGTTTTCCTGACTCATACAACCTTTAATTTTTTAAGTCTTCTGTCAACCGCTTCATTGCTCTATAACTCTACTCTTTTTTTCTAGCAACTCCCAACTTGATAGTGGTTGCTTAAAACCTTATTGAAAATTCATCCAAAAAATCCAAAAAAGTAATGCACAAAGTTTAGTTTATTTATTATTTAATTATTATAATAATGCAGGATAAAAATATTAAAATGCCATCGGTTGGAATATTGGTAAAAAAAAGTCAATGCCGATACCGATTGTGCAAAAAGTGGCCAATTAAGCAGATGCCAATTAAACGGTACATTACTAGTTTTTACCCAACTCTAATCATAAATCTGAACAATTAGCAAATGCTGTATTTTTAGTTTTAAAATCACATGGATTAGATATAATCAACTGCCGTGGTCAAAGTTACAACAAAGCGCCTAACTGTCTGGTAGATATACAGGGCTTCAAGCTCACATTAAAGAAGTTAATCCTTTAGCTACATTTATACTATGCTTGACACACTCTTTGAGTTTTGTTGGTGAATGCACTGTGGACAGTTGCAGAAATACTTTTGGGACTCCGCATCCCGGCTGTGGAAAGTTGTAGAAATGCTTCTGAATTTTTGATTATGCTTCAAATTATCTATCTACATATAGATGGTAAATACTTCAAAAAAATTTAAAAAAACTATCAGATACACAGTGGTCAGCAAAATCTGATCCAAGTATAGGTTTAAACAAAAATTGGAATAAAATATTTAATGGATTGTTTACTATCAAAGACATTAATCAGAAAAAGCAATCACAAGATTAGACACTAATGTATTTATAACAGTTTTGAAACAGCTATAATGGCCAAATTATAGGCTGTTATACTAGAAAAATTTAACTAAACTAGTAAACAATTGCAATCAGTTGAGACTAGTAAGTGACTGGGGTTGATATCTGACCAGGGCAGGGGCTGGGTTTGATAAAATACAGCCAGGGTTGGGCAGGGATTGTGACCAGGGCTGCATAAACAATTATATATTCTAAAGTATTTTTTTTTAAATCAAAACTCAAGTTATATTTTGTGTATATATGTATATAAACATTATTATGATCAACATGATCATTATCACCATTATCATCATCACTATCATTATCATCATCATTATCATCATCATCAGGCTTTAGCTTTCCTCTTTTATGCTGTTTTTCTAATATAAACAATCTAGAGCATTTCTTCTCCTTAACTGAACTTCATTCATACAAAATGTAAGGCACTCTCTTCAAGTTTTTATATTTCTACCACTACCATTTTCCCCTGAAGCTGCTACCTCTCTACACAGTGATACCTAAATCACTTTAATCTTCTCTAACAAACGTTGTTTTTTAGAAAAGATTAAAGTTTTTCCTTCTCTAACAAATATTTTTTTTCTAATCTGTCTAAGATTATGCCTCCTTTTCTTGTCTTGTCACACCACACATCCATCGGATCATCTTCTCTTTTGGCAAATACTACAGCATAAAATACTAATGTTTATATAAATATGAAAGGATATTGTATGCCAGTATCTAAATAAATAGCAAACATATGTTTATATTCATAATATATATGCATAAAGCGCATCTTGGAGGCTTTTATTCCTTCTGGAATAAAAGTTTGGAAGCTTTTATTCCTTCTCTTCAATTTTAAGTCAAGCCTCATTCTATTCCACATTTTTCACTATATTTAGCAGTTGCTTTATTAAACTCTTTTTTTTTTTAAATCTTTTTTACAAGAACATCTCTCTTAAGAACAAATGTCCTTTTATTATTGCAAGAAACCAATGTAAAAAGCTCCTGTTTGATGTTAAGCTTATTTATTCTCAGTTTACAAAATCTTGTATCTTATCTCAGATGTAAGGTTCTAGAGACTTTTGGTAAGCCTTCAACAGTGTCATTACCTAAAGTAAGCCTAATATTTTATTTCTTATTCGTGTCTGATCTTTTTACTTCTCCCCAGAATAAGGCAGAGTTATTTGCAAAGAAATCTTACTCTAATTTGACTCTTGAATATAACGGCCATGCTCTTCTTGACAGTTAAACAGATTAATCCATTCTTAAACATCGAAATCACTCTGGCTTCCAGTACTAAAATTAATTCTCAATTAAAAACTTCTACAGTTTGTGCTCCAGACAAGATTTCCATTGTAGTCTTAAAGTGTTTTTCAGAACTCTCTTAAATTTTTGCTAAACTTTTAAAAAGTGTTAAATAAGTGGTTCCAATTTTTAAAAATTTTAGAAAACATTTTGACCTTTCCAGCTATTCTACAATTAGTCTTCACTCTGTTATTAGTTTCTTGATACAAAGTTTTTGAGATTATTAAACTATTTCTTTCTAACTGCAATATTAAGTTTATTCATGGAGGCCTACACTCCTCTTTATTTCAAGTAGCTTTAAGGATACTACAAGGTTCTATCTTTGCTCCTGTAAATTTTCTTATCTAGAATAACAAACTTTATGAAAATTTCACATCTAAAGTGGCTCTAGTTGCTGACGACTCAACTTTATACTTTTGTCTTGATAAAAAATTTTCACTTTTTGATTGCTTAGAAAAAGCAACCAGTTTTAATCTGATCTCTCTTCTGTAACAGCCTAAGGCTTGCAATGGCTTATGGATTTTAAGTTTGGACTTGACACAACAGCCTAAGGCAGTGATTGCACTCTACTACTACACCACTAGCGCATTTACCATAGATATGAACTTTAATGACATTATAAATACATTTGCAAAACATAATTCACATAGAAAATTATAATTTTTTTTTTATGTTCAGTGATTAATTTATTATAATTATAATTAATATATGTTTGTATTAAGAATGTTTTTGTTTTTTAATAATAACCCCATATCACAGTTGACAGTTATTCTTAAAAGAGGGCACTTAAAGGAACAGTGCCTAGTGTGCCAAAAATATAAATACATCTCTAGTACATGTTATCCTTTTTTTTTTAAACTTGGTGTGTTGATATTATTATCTTGTTTTTAGTTTGTTGTGCTCTCCTGATTCTATAAATTATAAAAATGAAATTATTTATCAATCAATAATCTATGACTTTTTCAACAAAAATGTACAAAAAATTAATTTCTAACTTTCTAAAGTTATGAACTTGCCTTAAACTTATTATATTAACTATTTAATGTTTGGCAAGCAATAAACTTTATGTAACAAGAAGAAAATAAATCCATATAAAAAAATATACCTCAAAACACTGAGATATTTCTTGAATAAATTTAAGCCTATCATCATCGCCTTTAAAAAAAAAATACTAACTTTATAAAGTTATAGCAAGACTAAAAAAATTCTTTGTTCAAATATTTTTTACAACGCTTACAGCATTAAAAACAAATCTTTAAATGATAAACATTTCCTTAAATTCTAAATCACCAAAAATAACTTACTGACAGATGAATCAACCAAAGCACTTGCATATTGATGGTACTCAATTAAACTTGTGTCTTTGGTCATTTTAATTTAAATTGTTTGCGTTGAATATATGTGCATTATCAAATTAACTAAAAAAATCATAGGGAAAGGTTTAAAAAAATTATTTGCAGTAAGAAAATTTGATCCAAACCAAATAATAACCACCAAAAAAATAACAAATATACATACTTTATATAGTGTTTATGTGTTGGTTTATAAATGTATATGTGTTTGTGCTTGTATGAGTGTATGACACATTTATAACCTATTTTCAGTATATATACACTGTATTTATACTGAAAATACCCACAAATGATAATTTTTGGCTATTTTCAGTATACATGCAGAATATATATACTGACCTCATATGAGATCTTCAATATATACATGAATAAAGATTTATGTTTGGGCAGGCAGTATTTTTTTTATCCTTTCTGTAATGTTATTACCATTTTATAGTGAAAGCAATTATTCAAAAAAAAATTTTACTGATTACTTTTACCTTTATCATCAAGACAGTAAACATTTGTCACAGAAATGCGTAAAAATATATGCTTTAAAATATAAGTTTATATAATTAACATAGTCTATGTTATTTATACAAACTTATATTTTAAAGCATATATTTTTAAGCATCTTTGTTACCAATTTTTTGTAGTTGTGATTATAATAAAAATTAAAATTAATTTTATTTTCTAAATATAGTTACCAATTTTTTGTAGTTGTGATTATAATAAAAATTAAAATTAATTTTATTAAAAATATATATATTTACCTAAATAAAATACTATTAGTTAAGATTTTTATTCGTTTCTTTCAATGTTAAACGACGGCGTTGAAAACACGCGACTTAACTTGGCGTTTATACGACTTATATCATGGTAGCAAAAAAAAAGGACAAGGTGGAAAAATGCCCAAAATCTGGAAAATATATTAACTTGGTTTAAATTTCATTATTGTATAATAATATTGCGCAGTGCCGTGGCAAGTGGGTCGGAAGCCCACCTAGAATAGCAAAAATTTTTACCACTAGGTATTACCCTAAAAAAAAAAGCTCCATAAAATGCCTTTTTTTTTTGGGGGGGGGGGGGGCGGTACTTATTTGTTTAGATAAGCAACTGGTTTCTTTAGAAATTTTGAGTCATTATCATTGCAGTAAAATAGTTTTGCATTATATTCATTACTGTATTCTAAATCAAAATTTAATACAACAACTTTAGTTTTCATAAGATAAATGTACAGATTTTAGAGAAACTCAATCTTGCAGCTGTTTTCATTTTTAGCCTTATGCAGCCAATACTAGACACTGTATTATGCTCGTAAATCAACTCATAAGTTTTACTTTATTCAACTAAATTAAAATGCCATCATTTATTTATAAAAAAATTAAAATTTAAATATTTTTAAAATCATGGGGTACATTTTTAAACAGGGGGATCAAAACGCCTTTAAAATAAAAAAGTTTGCTGATATAAATAAGTCCTTTATAATCTACAACAAATATTGACTTGAGTTGATCTCTTTCTTACCAAAGTAAAAAGACTTCGATCATAAACGTTGTTGAACTCTTCTTTTATACCAAACAATGAATCGAGACCACAAAGCCCAGAGTCGCGGCTAGGCCCACACATCCAAATTAGGGAAAGATGGAAACAAATTCAGAGAGCTCTTTTGCAAATTTAGCGGTCCATTTGGAGGCTCTGAAAAAAGGTTTTGGGGAAAGGGGCCTCCAATACACTAGCAACTGCACTCAGGGCAACTGTCGTCAGCCACGGCACTGACAAGTCCTAAAATATAACTTAACAAAGTGGTCATTCTCTTTAAAGTGGTCATTCTCTTTAAATACTTTATTATCATTCGGCAGTATAAATTAGAACTATTTATAGGTTTTAATAAATTTATATAATGTAATGTTTTGTTTAAATAGGTTATTTTCAAAATAATTCTTGAAATGCTTTAAATATCTTGATTGTTATTTATTGTTATAATTTTAGAAAAATCAAAGTCAACGTAAATAGTCATGTAATTGTAAACAACGTAAATAGCTATTATTGTATTTTTAGGAAAAAGAAATTAAAAGAATTTTATCGCAATCCAAGAAAAACTTGTACAGACGTTTTTTTACTCTGGATAAAAGATATTGCAGCTTATCCTTTTTGAATATGTGGAAAATAAAAAAATAACTTGCACATGCTTGCAAAAAGAAAAAAAAAATTCCTCGACCAGATGGACACAGACGATAAAAAAGGTTAGTTATAAGTTAATTACATCAGTTATGATGTATCTGAGCACTGAAAAGATTGAAGATGTTTAAGACCACATCAAAAATATTTAAAAAAAAACATCCAGTCTCTGTGATAATCCTGGGTGTCATTAGAAGTGACGGAAAAAGGTATCCACTAGTGTTTGTTTCGAAAAGCCAAAAAATTGGTTCAAAAGAATACTTGAGGCTTTTGAAAACAAAAGTTGCTCCTTGGATCCCTAAGACATACCCAGATGGTAAATAATGTATTTCATCAGGATGGTGCACCTGCTAGTACCTCTAGAAAATAAGTCAATATGACCCCCATCAAGTCAACAGTTGAAACCTTTGGACTTTTTTATGGTGACGGCTGTTGAAAAAAAAGCAAGAAACACAACAATGCCTGGATTGGGCTCAAATACAACTTTGTATTTGGTAAAAGTAGGCTAAATTGGGGTAATTGATAAAGTACAATTAAGTGGGAATTTACGATATAGTGTGGAATAATTAAGCCCATTTTTGGACTTTCGTCTATACCCTATTGCAAGAAAAATATTCTCACACTATTGCAAAAACTTTTACCTGTAGCAGCTATAGATTTGTTTGCTCTCCTCAGTGTGTTGCTGACTTTTTTAAGTAAAACAAATATTTTCTTCTTATTCTGTGGAGCAGAAATGGTATCTAGTCACGGCAGCCATAAAAAAACACACAAGCAATTACACAAATGATCAAATGCTTGTTAAAGTTTATCAAAACTGTTAGTTTTAGTTTAAGTCGCTTTACCTCTAGGTTTTAACAAAAAAGTTTTTTTTTTTTTAAGTTTAGATGTTTTTGTTGGAGTTCAGAATTTAGTAGTTCAGTAAACAAAAACGTATAAGCTGAGTTTTGTTTGAAAACTCAACCTGAAAGTTGCGTTTTCAAACAAGATTTTGCGTGAATAATTCTTTTGCTAATGGCGCAATCTTTCTTTACATTTTGCGCTTTAGTTAGACGAAAATCTATGAATCAAAACCGCAACAGCCGCGGTTTAGCTCCATAGTATGTTTTCTTGTATTATATGTTTTCTATAAGATACATGTTTATTACAGTGTGTTATACTTTGCTTTCAAATACCATAAAAGTCGAAATTACAAGCATCTTCTATCTATGATAATTTTAAAGTTTAATTAAATAAATGTTGTTTATTTTTAAAGCTTTGTAAACTTTCATTGCCTTGTTTATTAAATTACAGTTACCAAATAAAAAATAAATGGCCGTATATCTAAAAAATAAGGCTATTGGGGTAAGTTGACAAAATTTTCTCAGGGTAAGTTGCCTCATAGTAATCTCTATAGGAAATATATATATTTTTTAAATAACTTTTTTTTTTTTTAATTTGTAACAATATTCGAAAAGTTTATTTTTACAAAAAAAATGTAAAAAAAAAATTGTTCAAAGATTTTCTGACCTAGAAAAAAATATATATAAGGGAGGATGGGTAGGAGTGAGCCACTTTTCTTTAAATCAATTATATCAAGGAAACCACGAGTGAAAAAAGAAGCCTAAGGTAGCCTAAAGTATTAGGTTTCTAATAGTAATACACGAAATATCAAAAAATATTAAGATTTTTAATAACTTGAACAATAACGCAGGTGTTGCTACTGGTTCAATCCTACCCATGCATGGGTAGGAGTGAACCAAGCAAATGGTAGGAGTAGACCATTATCTTTGATTAACAGAAAACTAAAATTAGATAATTTATTTAACTAATTTATTGAAAACTACGTAAGTAACAAATACTTTATAATTAAGCATAGCATAATTAAGTAATACTGTAACATAAATAACAACAAATTTAACACAACTTTAAACTCATTTAATGAAATAAACAGAATGTATAAACTACCTGAAAAATAATTTGTTTTTTTTTCAGTAACTACTGGTTTTGACAACAAAACAAAAAACTGTCATGACAAATAATAATTTCCAAATATTAAGATATAATAAAAGTATATATATGTATTGAAAGTAATATATTAGCATATATTGTATATTGGCAATAAAAATAATATTTAGCAAATACTGATATAGTCAAACACAATCTCAATTTTGTAATGGCAAAGCTGCCTTTTACTTGTTCAAGAAAAATTTGGCCGAGGTAGCAATATTTTGGAAGTTATTGCAGTTTCTCTAATATTTTTTCCTTTTTGGATTAAATTGTAATGCATCTTTCATACCTTTACTGGAAGTTTTTGCTTTCGAAGTTGTTCTTTTATAGACTCGAGGAAGTTTTTGCTTTCGAAGTTGTTCTTTTATAGATAGCGATTCCACGGCTAAGCGAAAAACATTTGACGTTTGACAAAAAACACGAAATTTTCATGAAGTTTGCTCTCTTATATCTTTTTGTATAGAAAAGCAAGCAACCTCAGGTTTTTTGCATCAATTAGTGTTACTCAACCTCTTTTCAGCCATATATGAAAAGTACTATGCTTTTTATGGCTTCACTTAAATATTATCCATATCTTGAGACCACTTTTGAGAAAAAATCTTGAAGCGGGAACGTTTTTTTAAAACGAAGCTTTTGGAGGTAAGGATTCCGAAGTACCAAAACAAATCCAATTTTTATAAAACTTTCCGTATATATTAAAAAAAGGTTGAGGAATCTAATGGAATGTGAACACTTTTTAACATTTATACATAAATTTTCAGTTCTCAGTGTTTAAAAACTTCAAGGTTAATTATAATAGAAAAAAAAGTGATTTTTGAAAGTGTTCAAGTGGAAATGGCAAATTCAGCCTTTCCTCTTTTTAAAACAAGTGTTTAATTATGTTTTCTTAAAGAATAAGTGCTTCGGATTTGTATATTAGACTTATGTATATATATATATATATATATATATATATATATATATATATATATATATATATATATATATATATATATATATATATATATATATATATATATATATATATATATTTCTTTGGGTATTTTATGACGTTTTTTGTTTTGATTTTGCAATTCCGAAATTTTAACTACAAATAAAATTGAAAATGAAAGTATATTCCTTATTAATGACTTAAGTTTTCAAGGCAATAAAAATAAAGATTTTATATTTTTAAAGGTATTTTTTCTGGATTGCTCAACCACAAGCTTGATTCTCACTGTTTCTACTACTGTTTTTAGTCTGTAGATTCTCTAAACTGTTTTTTTCAAAACAAAAAGAAATAGTAATCAACTAAACTTTTAGTCTAAAGTTTACAAAGTGGAAATATGTAAGAATATTATCATTTTTTTTTCATTTATTTTTTTATTTTTTTTTTGGCTAAGTAAAATAACCAATGAACTTTAATTTCAAATTCAAATTCTCTTCTTTAGGCTGTGAACTTAACAATCTACTTGAAATGGTGATTCAATCTATAAGTCAAGAATGTAAGTCATACTTTGATAGACTTTTTAAATTTTTAAATCCGGAAAAATGTATAACAAACATTTTATATTTCAATAATTTTATTTATAGAATCTTAAGCTTGATGATCTACCTTTATTTTATTTTCACAAAGCTAGATATTATCAAACTTTAACTCTTTGATTAACAATAGATTTATTGTAATCACTCAAATTAAATTTAATATTAATTTTAGCTACCAAAGTGTTGTCTGAAATAGCAACCTGCAAGAATATTTTGGATTTTCTGGATATAAATGATGGCATTATTTCTCTCAAATATCCTGATTTTGTGTTAACCAATAGCCATTTTCTACAAATTTGCAAAGACAAAAATAAATATAACATAACATTAGAAAATCTTTCATTATTTTTTACAACCTACTGTAAGTATAATATCTCTAGAGTGATGCTTATAAGGATCTTAAAAAAGTTAAAAGGTTACATTGTAAAATTAAATCGAGCCAAAAATTTGGACTTTAAAAAACATTTTTTAAGCTCTGCTTTATCTTTTAATGGTGCTTTTTCTGATGTTGTTGGTTTGTTACCTTCTGATGCTTGTTCTACCCCTACTTCTATCTACAATAGTGAAATTGTTCCAAATCAAGTTACTGTTTTTGTATCTTCTGAATTAAATTTGCAAATTACTAATGATGAATTGTCGTGTCCTGTTACCCCAACTTCTATTATATACATCCCTTTAGAAAAAAGGTCTAAAAAATTTTTTACTGAAACGTGTTTTAGTGAAGAGAATCTTCCAGTTTCCAATTTAGATAAAAAACTATCTTTATTTTCTGGTGATTTGACCTATCAAATAAAAAAATACAAACGGAGAATTAATCACCTTAAATTGCAAAATAGACAAGTTAATAGAAGATGTTAAATTGATATTAGATTGGTTTTTAATTTATCAATACCAAATTTTTTGTAATACTCCCCTTTTGCCTTTTCTCCTAATTGTAACCACTTTTCTGGAAATTTTTGCTGTAATACTTTTTTTCGAAATTTAATTTGTCTTTGCAACTTCATTATAATTTCATTTTCAGTTCCTAAAATTTTTTCAAAATCCTCTTCACACAAAATTAAACCACCATCCTTTCCAATTTCTGTTGTCAAAAACTCTTTCTCTTCGCTTGCCTTTTGTTCCTTTATTTCCTTTTCTAAGTTGCGCTTGTCCATCTCATCAATTTTGTACTGCAATATATTTGCTTTTTTCTCTCTGAACTTTCTTATATACCCTTTTCTATTTCGCCTTGCTAACATAACTAGCCTTTCAATTTCTTCCTGTGATTTTCCATCTATCCAATCAGCTGTTTTGTTGTTGTTAAACATGATCACACCAGCTGCAGCTACTGTTGTCATGTTAGGTTTCATTTTTAACCTGCGGTCATAGGAAGCAAAGTCACGTTCAAACACAACATTAGTGCGTGGGCAGTTTTGAGTTTCTTCAAGCACATCATCACCCGGATTGTAATATTTTCCTCCAGGCAATTGGTCTCTTAACTGACTCTGAATCATAACCGAACATGTGCAACATATAACTTCAAGACATTCTTGTGTTAAGGCATCCAAAAGTAGGTCATTACAATTAGAAAATAAATGATCAAACACTTCATCCTTGGTGAGATATTTTACATCAAAAAATGTAGAACCACTTAACATTTTTGATGCATCAGAAGAACAAGAAACAAAATAATTGAACATTTGCAACCAAATGGTATTTAAAGAGAAAATATGACCCTCCTCTTCAATAATACGAAAAAGAGGTCCTGATATCAATTTACTAAAAATTCCCAGAGCTCTAGTTGAAGCATGAAAAATGATGTTGTCAATATCATGCCTAATTGACTCATGAAGAAAATTTGAACCACCAAGATTGAAAACAAATTCTTTAAGGTGGTCTTTATGATAATACGTTGCTCCACCAAGTACAAATATAATATTAAAGCGATGATGCAGAAATGAAACCATAAAATTTTTTGAAAACCTTTTACGCAAAAATGCCTTCCATTCATCAGCTTTTCCATTTCGCTGATCACCATGCCGATAGCTTGTAAGTTTTGAAAGTTCATACAAAATATCAAAGGTGCGAGAGTTTTGAGAACTTTTAAAACTACCATGAATACTACCTTCCTGCTCAACCACTTTTTCCCATTCTATTATTGCTTTTTCTGCATATATTCCTAGATTGTGGATAACGTGTAAGCCACAAAAAACATGATGCATTTGAGAAATTTTTAATTTTTTTTACTAATCGGTTTGTAAATAAAGCAATAGTTTTAAACAGATGAATTAATTGGATTCCACAATCCTTAATGCATACAGCATGAGGTTTTATAATATAACCTAAATTTTTTTCTTTTTTTTCTAAAAGATTTAAATCTTTTTTTTCTAAAAGATTTAAATCTAAATTCATTTTTAAAAGACTAGCTAAATAAATAAAAACATTTCAGTCTGTAAAATTAACAATTCTGGATAATTTTGACAGATGCAAAAAAAATTATGGCATTTAATTTTCTTATAGTATATAAGAAAATTAAATGCCATAATTTTTTTTGTATCTCTATCAAAAACTTCAATATCAAATTTCTTCAGTCTGTAAAATAGACGATTCTGTATGATCCCAACAGATTCAATAAAAACTGGCACACTATTTAAAATTTCAAGTCAAATATAATAACTGTTCAAATATATCAAATATATTTAAGGTCGATATGCCCAATTGGTTTGTGCATCCCTTTTTCTGTAATTTAATGACCGGTCTGTAATTTATGCAATAATTTTACTGACAGGTCTGAAAATTATGCAATATTTTTTAAATGATGTATTTTTTGGATTCCATGATTCCTTTATACATATTTGCATAGTGCAACCATAATTTTTTTCATTATAACACAGTTAAATAAGTAGAAACCCTTCAGTCTGTAAAATAAACAATTCTGGATAATCCCGACAGATTTAATAAAAACTGGATCACTATTTAAAATTTTAAGTCAAATGTAATAACGGTTCGAAAATATCAAAATTTTTAAAAAGATTAGAAATTATTTAAAGTTGATATGTTTAATTTGTTTGAACAGCCCATTTTCAGCAATTTACTGACCGAAAAGTAATTTATATGATTATTTCACTGACCGGTCTGTAAATTACGCAATAGTTTTCAAATGTTTCATTTTTTGGATTCCATGATTCTTTTATGCATATTCACATGGTATAATTATAATATCACCCCAAATTTTATTCTCCAAAACTAAGAAAATAATGTAAAACCCTTCAGCTGTAAAATAGATGATTCTGGACAATCGCAACAGATTTTTTAAAATAAAATTTTGGTTTTTTATTTTCTTATAGTTTTTTGATCACTATGAAAAATAAAGTCAAAAGTAATAACCATTCAAAAGTTATTCAAAAGTCAGTATGACCCCAAAAATATAGTAATTAGTAAAAACTCTCAGTCTGTAAAATAGGTGATCCTGGTAGATCCTGAAAAATTTTAAAAAAAAAAAATTTGGTTTTTTATTTTCTTATAGTTGTTGGATTGCTATAGAATATTTCAATTCAAATGTAATAACGATTCAAAAGTTATTAAAAAGTCAGTATGACCCTAAAAATGTATAAATTAGTAAAAATTCTGGTCTGTAAAATAGATAATTTCTGGTCAATCCTGACAGATTTCTAAAAAAAAAAATTTGGAATTTTATTTTCTTATAGTTAATTGGTCACTATGGAAAATTTCAAGTCAAATGTATCATCGGTTCAAAAGTTATTCAAATGTCAATAATACTTTCATTTTCGGTGCCATTTCGCAGTAAATTTTCCATACTTAAGCCCTATACCTTTTGTCAAAAAATTACCCGTCTTTTCACTACAAAAAGGTCAATAACTTTTGATCCGCTTAACTTCAAAGGCCAAATGACCCCTCATTTTTTAAGTCAAACCAAGCTCTATACAATGACATCAATTATATTTGAATATTTTAATTATTTAAAAATCGTCTGGAATGGCTATTATAGACTCGAGGAAGTTTTTGCTTTCGAAGTTGTTCTTTTATGGACTCGAGGAAGTTTTTGCTTTTGAAGTTGTTCTTTTATAGACTCGAGTAAGTTTTTGCTTTCGAAGTTGTTCTTTTATAGACTCGAGGAAGTTTTTGCTTTCGAAGTTGTTCTTTTATAGACTCGAGGAAGTTTTTGCTTTCGAAGTTGTTCTTTTATGGACTCGAGGAAGTTTTTGCTTTTGAAGTTTTTCTTTTATAGACTCGAGGAAGTTTTTGCTTTCGAAGTTGTTCTTTTATAGACTCGAGGAAGTTTTTGCTTTCGAAGTTGTTCTTTTATAGACTCGAGGAGGTTTTTGCTTTCGAAGTTGTTATTTTATAGACTCGAGGAAGTTTTTGCTTTCGAAGTTGTTCTTTTATGGACTCGAGGAAGTTTTTGCTTTCGAAGTTGTTCTTTTATAGACTCGAGGAAGTTTTTGCTTTCGAAGTTGTTCTTTTATGGACTAGAGGCAAAAATAAATGTAATGTTGCATACAAGTTTTCTAATGATATTCTAAGAAATGTCGTAAATATGTAAATATGTTTTTACGCTGAAGTCAAAACTTTTTTAACAAGAAGTATTGGTGAGCAGCGGTTCACTCTTACCCGTGAAGAAATGGCTCATTCCTCCCCAAGCTGTGCAACTGGATTAAAACATATATATGGTTTAAAACAAATAAGTTATCCCTAAACATAGAAAAAACAAAATACACTTTATTTCACTAAAACCAACAAAGAAACACACAACCAAATATTCTACCCTCTCTAAAAATAGAAAATATAGTAATTGAGAGAACTCACGAAACTAAATTTTTAGGAGTTATAATTGATGAAAATTTATCTTGGAAAAGTCACATAAATGCTTTAAACACTAAAATATCAAAAAACATAGGTCTACTTTATAAAGCAAAACCTATACTGTCGCAAAGTAATTTAAAACTTATATATTTCTCTTTTATACATAGCTACCTCATATATGCGAATATAGCTTGGGCGAGTACGCATATAACCAAATTGAAAACTTTATATCGACGTCAGAAACATGCTGTTAGACTAATTTACCATAAAGACAAATTTACACACACTGAACCCTTATTTAAAGAAATGAATGTGCTTAATATTTATCAAATTAATATTTACCAAAATATATTGTTTATGCTAAAATTTAAATTAGGTCAAGTACCAAACCATTTTTTAAATAACTTTTTTATAAATAACGTTAATAAATATAACACAAGAGAAAAAGGAAACTTTATTACACCTTTCAAAAAAACAAAACTTTCTCAGTTCTCAATTTCATATCTGGGGTCCTTATTTATACAACAAACTAGTAACTAAAAATAAATCAATTTGCAATCTAGATTCAATTTGCAATCAAAGTTTCTTGAAAAAAAAGTTAAAAAATCTGATACTGAATCTAAACAGATACTCAGAATTCTTCTAAGACTATAAATTAAAATACATATATATCAACTACAAAGTGAACTGACTCGTTTATGTGTATATAATCTAAATGACTCTTACCTTTCTCAAACAACATATCAAAAATTGTTTATTACACACACAAAAAAACACTTGATTTTTTCTTATCAAGTTTAGTTATTATGCTGCTAGTTATGTCTAATATTTTATACTGAGCTTATTTTGAGTTTATTTTTTATTATGAGCTAAATTTAAAGAATATATAAACATAGTTGTACTTAATATATAATTATATTTAACATAATCATAATAATATATCAAGCACATTGTAAGGGCTTCGTGATAAGATCATTACGATCTTCTTGAAGTCCGGCCTGTACTATTTAATTATAAATTTCACTATATATTTTGACTCACGAGACTTGTAAATA